CGCCTCTCCTCGCTGTCGCGCGTGTCTCCCCTCCGCCGCCGCCTCCCTCTCTCCCCTCCCGCCTCTCCTCGCTGTCGCGCGTGTCTCCCCTCCGCCGCCGCCTCCCTCTATCCCCTCCCGCCTCTCCTCGCTGTCGCGCGTGTCTCCCCTCCTCCGCCGCCTCCCTGCTGCCCTCGTTTCTCTCCTCGCTGCCGCGTGTCTCTCCTTCCCTGCCCGCCTGACCCCGCCCCTGCCTCTCTCGCCCCTGCCGCCTCTACCCCACAGTACCCGAACCCACCCTCCCCTGCCCCACGGTACCCGAACCTCCCCTCCCCTACCCCACGGTACCCGAACCCACTCTCCCCTGCCCCACGGTACCCGAACCCACCCTCCCCTACCCCACGGTACCCGAACCTCCCCTCCCCTACCCCACGGTACCCGAACCCACCCTCCCCTGCCCCACGGTACCCGAACCTCCCCTCCCCTACCCCACGGTACCCGAACCCACCCTCCCCTGCCCCACGGTACCCGAACCTCCCCTCCCCTGCCCCACGGTACCCGAACCTCCCCTCCCCTACACCCACGGTACCCGAACCCATCAGGCCCTCGCCTGGCGCGCGTTTGCCGCCGTCAACACGTTCATCGGCGCGACGCTGCTGAACAAGGGCAAGGCCGGTGTCGCGGGGAAGATTGCAGGCGAGCAACAACGAGCTCTTCGAATGTCGCGACAAAAGACGGCCGCACAGCACGTCTCACACGAGCTCTGACCACCCAGCCCTCCCTCACAGCACACACTGGCACGACAAGCGCGTGGACTGGCACACACACTAGCAAACACAAACCGGCACACCACCGGACGCGCCTCCCTTGCACCTCCCTTGCACCTCCCTTGCACCTCCCTTGCACCTCCCTTGCAGGCAGCGACTCGGTGGTCAAGACCGTCCTCTTCTTCTTCTACGAGCGGGCGTGGGCGCAGGTCGGTTGGGGCCGTGAGGAGGCGTGCCCCCGTCCCTCTCGCACAGAACGCACGCACGCACACACACACACACACACTCACACACACACACACACACACGCGCACACACACACACACACAGAGAGAGAGAGAGAGACAGAGACAGAGACAGAGACAGAGACAGAGACAGAGACAGAGACAGACACACACATCTCCTGTCCTGACCGCGCCGGTGTCCTCTCTCTCTCTCTCTCTCTCTCTCTCTCTCTCTCTCTCTCTCTCTCTCTCTCTCTCTCTCTCTCTCTCTCTCTGTCTCTCTCTTTCTGATTCTCGCTCTGCTGCTCGTTAGGTCTCTCGACACATTCTATTGCTCGCTGTCGCCATCCATAGTGACCTGTAAGTCGATTGGCGGCGCCGGCGGCGGCAGCGACGGCGGCGACTGAGAGGGTGGAGGGAGGAGGGCGAGGATGAACGTCTCGCTGCCATAGGATCCGGAGCCGAGCGTGAACGTATAGCCCGCACCCTTCCACTCGTTGCCGGTCCAGCCGTCGCCGTACGAGTCGTACATGTCGAGCGTGCACTCGCCGGGCGGCGCGGACAGGGTGCCAAAGTAGGGGGCCCCTCCACTGCCGATCAACGCGCCGCTGCACGTCAGGTCCCCACGACACATCGGACGGATAGCTACCGCCACCCACAGTGACCTGGAAGTC